TCATTTTCATAACCTCGAGACCATTCAAGATTGCATTAACAGTACCTGTATCTTCGTTCATTGGACCGATCTGAACAACAAGCTGATTGCTACTCATCAGTGTTGCATTCACAACAATGTCTTTGTAATATGGGATTGCTAATCCGCCTGTTAATGAAGACAAATCCAACCCGGAAACCGCAGTTTTGCCGTTGATGTAAACATTGAAGTAGAGATCATTGAGAGATTTACTAACTATATCACAGAAGTGCATCCGGACAAGGTAGCTGAAAGATGGGTCAGCATCAAAATTCCATGTCACATTGAAATTAGGCTGGATGGTCTGCGATTCAGCCATCTTAGCTGCCGTGGAATAAATTGTTTGCGGCGCAATCAATGGGGTAACTCCAGTTTTGTATTTGACTACGGTTGTGGGAACAGAAACATCAGCAGCCAATCTTTCATCTTGAAGATATTGCTTATCAGGCAGCCATGTCCTTTGTAATGTATCATTCTGTGGGGTAACCAGAGGTCCACCCATGTTAACCCTGTAAACTGTTTGGTAAGAGAATGTGGATAAACCAGAGAAGTCTCCCACGGGGAAAAGAGCAGCTCCGGAATCGGAGATTAAATCATCCGGAGCCGAGACAACCTCAATGGCGTTGATGAAGGCAGCGGAACTCTTCATCGGCAAGAAATTGATGAAGAACTCAGCCTCTGTCAAATTCATCAGGTACTCTTTCTGGAGAGGCTGAGTGTTGTTGTTAGATCTGTAGTTATGGAGAAGAGTCAGCTTGTCCGTGGAAACAGAGAAAGTCGCCTTCGCAAGATCAAACTGGTCATTCTGAAAGGGGAAAAAATGGAGACGAACAAAATGCCAACCAGGTTGCTTCAAGGTGAACTTATAAGTAGCATGTTCATGGAAGATTCTGGCGGATAAATAAATCGGAGAAGAAACATTGTCGGCCGATGGAATTGAAACAAGAACATCATTCTGTGTATCAAGATGCTGAGTCGTTCCCTGATCATTCTTAAACACTCTCCCATCAGGAGTTTTCGGCGAGGTCTTAGCCCCACACGCGAAGAGAAAATTATCAACAGGGGTAAAGCCATTGACAGCGGTCGTCGGAGTTGCGGACGAGACAAAAACGGGGCTGGAAAAGGCGAGAAGAGCCAGGAGGAAAATCACCATTGTTGATGAAAGTAAAGACGACAACAAAGGGGATAGAAAATGAATTGTTTGGTGGGATTTGGATCTGTTTCCTATCTCCATCCCTCCTGGCTAGGGAGGGGGATGAGGGTTGAGAAATTTAAAACTCAGGATCTTTATTTAGAGAGCAAAAGAAAAGAAACAGAAGGTGGACATTGTTATAAATCGGTAAGAATAGGGAGAGAAAATTTGTTCGGCTAGTTTTTTTTCTCGGAAAATTGACAGCACAAATGGAGTCTGGTTATTCCCAAGATTGTGGCATTGTTTGTGGAGGGAAGAAGAAGAAGAAGAAGAAGACGACTCCTTCACAGTTCAAAGACGTTATTTTTAGCAAAATAACTTCAATGGTTTATAACTACTTGAAATTTTCAAACACCATTTTCTTTTTATATTTTAAATTATTTTTTATTTTTTATTAATCTAATAATTTCTGGCACCATTCATTTTTTTACGTTAATTTTATTCTATCTTAATAAAAATAATATATTGTATCA